TCTATCTATCTATCTATCTATCTATCTATCTATCTATCTATCTATCTATCTATCTCTCTCTCACTCAGGACGTTGCATCACTTCAGGAGTGCGGGTTCTGAGAGAACCAAGACCTTGACGATTATCGGAACTTTTCATCGAATGGTAGCTAACACATACGAGATGGCGGATCTACCGTTCGTGATTGACCTATTCGGACGGGAACTCCGACTCATGGATTACCCATAGAGGATAACCCACACCGCGATACTTGCGTTCATCCGAAACTGCAGGGACGCGAAAATAAATTACAGGAGTACCTGAAAAAGCAAGAAGCACCAAATCGACGGATATAAAACTGAAAGTCCAGAATAAAATACGTCAAGAAATTCACACAACTCGAAATAGAAAGCTAAAATCACAAATCGAAAAATCAAAAATTAAAAATATAATTTTGCACGGAATAAAAATAATTTTTTAGGGACGAAAAAGAAACATACACGACTAAGTACTCCGGAATATCACGAAATTTCTGCAGATATAACGACGTAACAGTGTCGCTCACATTTCCAAACATACGAAACAGATAGAAGATGAAAAACCTACAGCAGTGAAAACGAACCAATAAAGAAAAAGTACTCACCTGGAAATGAAGGAAAATTCACGGCCATGAAACTAAACAAGAACAGAACAACAAACAAGGTCATATTCGAGTCAGTATAAAAAAACAACGGAGTTCTAGGCAAGTACCACAGTAAGACGGGACTCCGACAAAGAGGAGAGTACATGAGTAGCACACACAAAATCATTAGATATGATGAAAGTAGCTCCAGATTGAATGCATGTTGGAAATCGACGACGACAAGGACAACACAGAGAGCGACTGCGGGAGATCCTGAGGATAGATGATGAGTACACTGCAAGGATAGGGAAAGTGGCGGAGAAGGACTGNCGACGACAAGGACAACACAGAGAGCGACTGCGGGAGATCCTGAGGATAGATGATGAGTACACTGCAAGGATAGGGAAAGTGGCGGAGAAGGACTGGGAACGAAGGGTATAAATACTTAGGATAGTGACTGAAATGATTACCTGAGCAATGAGGTAGAAGGGTAATCGTGACTGGTGTCGCATGCCATGGACATTACGTGTATGCTGTGAAAGTAAAACCTCGTACGTTCTGTCTACATTTGCATGTGTATGCTGTGAAAGTAAAACCTCGCACGTTCTGTCGACATTTGCATGTGTTTATCTCTATGCACGGTGCTTAGAACTTGCGGGCGGTACCCGCGATGATTGACACTGTATAGACTTGTCACTCTTTCATTTTACATTCACTGTCTTTATCTCTCTCTCATCATTCGTAACCCTTTTCTTTCATGATATCATAGTGACGATTTGTTGGAGATTACTCAACGATTTTTGGAGATTCTATTTTACTTATCTGGTGTAACTGAAGACGATCAACGACGCTGTGGGGTTTTGTATCATTTCAAGTACGAAGACTACCTACCTGACGTTCCCAAGCTTCAAGGAAGATGTCGCGTTCGCGATCATCGTCGGACAGGAGGCGGCGCAGACACTCATCATCATCTTCCGGATCTCAAGGGAGGAAGCGCTCAAGAAGGGGGAGATCGAAAACTCCGAGAGATAGAAGACATAAGTCAAGATCACCATCGTCACGGAGAAGAAGGGCGGAGTCATAATCTCCAAGGTGGTTCTCGAGACCATTGTGGGAGCAAAGACGGACTGATTTCCCCCCACCGGGAAATCGAGCGTAGTATACGATGGATCTAAGGGAAGAAATTTTTAAGCTCCGCCTGGAGATAGACAAAGTTCTCAAGACACTGGAGCAACTCACACGAAAGACAAGTGAAAAGCAGCCAGCTCCTCCGAACAAGGAAGACACCGCAAAGAAGCCTGAGCTAACTCCGAACGCGCTCTAGTCCATCATTGATGAAGCACTGAAGCCGACAGAGATGAACCAAGGGGTACATAATCAAGTTGGTTCAAGCGCAACCGGTCAGAAGAATGCGGAGGCGGAAGATAAAGTAGAAAGGATGGTATCGGAAGTGCAGAAGGAGGTCAACAACCTGAAGCTACTAAAGTATGATCTGGCGGTTGTGAAGGGCGCGTTGCAGAAGATCAATGAACCGACTCATACCTGCACTCCGATCGTGTCGTTTTCGGTTCATCCGAACGGATATGTGGGGACAATGGATGGACTACCAACTTCAGTACATGGTAGCCGCAGCATTCCGAGCCGAAGCATGCCAAGCAGAAGCGCACCGAACAAAAACAAATTGGGACGCGTCATCCCTCCACACCCCAAGAGAGGACGAACGAAGATTAATCGCAATGTGTTGGCAGCGAAGTCGAAGGCAAAACAGAGCATTAATTTCGGGGTCGAACCGATGACGAACATGTAGCTCCTTCGTCTTCACTACACGGACCTGAAGGTCTTATGCAAGATGCATGACATCAGGTACAAGACCAAGCCGCAAACGATCTCGACATTGAGGCAAGTTCCTGGATTGATCGCCTACAAGGGGCGTGACTTCAACCGGGATTCTGATCTTGAAACACAGATCATGCCAGATCCAGATAACATCAGAGTGTCCAATGCAACTGGCAGCGACACAAGTGAGGATGATTACGAGAGCCTTAGTACAAGATCAAGCGGGAGTGATGAGTATGACTCATCCGACACATCTTCGAGCGCCGAAGATCTGTCGGGAAGGTAGAAGACACCTCAGCATCAGGCGACCTCACCACGACACAGAAGTGGGAGCAGATACACAGGCTATCAACGAAAATTGTGCAACTAGTTAGTACAGGGAGTTTCACCTTGGTGTAGACATATGTACGTGGGGAGGACAAAAGACAACCCGACAAGAGATGGACTGAACACATAAACTTGGTCAAGAATCCAAATAGAGGAACACAGCGGAAACTATATAGTTGGCTGCACAAATTTGGTTGGGAGAAATATGT